TATATATATATATATATATAGAGAGAGAGAGAGAGAGAGAAATAATAAAATAATCCTCATCATATTTTAATAAAAAAAAGAAAGAGAGAGAGAAGTGTTTATGGTCTTCACATGTTTTAATGTCTTGGGTTTTGTGTTTTGGGGTTCAGAGAACCCTCTTTATATATATATATATATAGAGAGAGAGAGAGAGAGAGAAATAATAAAATAATCCTCATCATATTTTAATAAAAAAAAGAAAGAGAGAGAGAAGTGTTTATGGTCTTCACATGTTTTAATGTCTTGGGTTTTGTGTTTTGGGGTTCAGAGAACACAATCTTTATTTTTAGGGGTAAAACTCTCATTGACCAAGTCTTGGGGGTGGGAAGCACGTTCACTTGGCTTTTGGGGGCTGGAAGCATTTTTCCCTTGTTTTTTTCTTCTTCTTATTGTTATTGTATTGGATCAAAAGACAATATTTGTTTCTTCGGTTTTGTGACTTGATTACGAGAATATATAGTTTGAAATTAAAAACAGTACTTTTACACAAATGATGTCCAAGAAAACAAGACACTGGAACATATGATTGATATGTGTGTCATGCGCCTATGCTTACGAAACGAAGGGAATGATGAATTGATGGTTTTAATTAGAAGACCTGAACTAATCCAAGAACTTAACTTCTATGCGTACAAAACAAAGGGAAAGCCTAAATTTGATACCTAGACATGAAATTCCCCATGATTTTCGCCTTCGTCTTTCATGTAAACGCGAACTACCTTGACCAAGTCTAATCCGAGAAACAATGAAGGGCACCATGGCTACAAACGTTCATATATAATATCTTACTCTAAACGTCCAACATCCGACACCCACAGACTGAAGACAAATCAAGAAGTTACTGATGATCAGGAAGCGAAGCACCAATGGAGACAGCAAGGTCGCTGATTTTATAAGCATCGTCTTCTTCTTTAGGCATCAGAGACTTCAGCTTCGACTCGGCCCAAGCATCCCTGCACGTGAAGACGTTGAACAATAGCGCACTCAAACGACTCTTAACCGTGAAAAAATTGCGAGACTCGAGCGCTTCAATCGTTTCCTTGATGTCCTCAATGCCCAAATCGTACACTTCTTCACAGACATCCAGAGCCTTTTTGCTCTCCGCTGACACGTTTTTACTGTTCAGCAACTCCTTCACTTTGGCAAGGTTGTGCGTGATGTTGGCGTTCGCTAGGTTGGCTATTATAGAGGTAAGACCTGATTTAAAAATAAAAAAAACTACATTAATTGATGACTATCTCAGGTGTGCATCCGGAATTAACCCTAAAATCGTTGAAGGATTTGAATCCTCTCAAAAAAATAAAAAATAATTTAAAAATAAAAACAAAAAATAGACGGAGAAACCACTATTTTTATTCTCATCCATTGGATGTTATTTAATAGGTGAGATTAAAAGAGACATTGCATAATAGTAATAGATTTATGAGGCAAATTCCTTTAATTTCTACGACTATATATGTTTCTTTCTTTTTTTTTCTCCGTCTTTAGCGTCTATTTCTGTCTTTTTTCCCCTCATTTTTTTCCTAGAAATATTTTACAACTACCTTTTTATATCTATTTTGCACTAAAAATTATAATTATTATTTATTATAAAAAACAATCTTTAATTTCATTTCACCGATTAGTTTTTTAGCGAAAACTACTGCAAATTTTTATTGTTTTCTATTAAGCTTGTTTTATCCAATCTTCGGATTAATATTCTCTATTTTACTTTACCAATGATATATTAATTTTATAAAAAATTAACAAACTTGTATGCATTCCACAATAAAAATAAAGTCAAAAAAATGTTTTCTAACAATTGAAAATTAGACACGTCTTTTTCCATTAGAATAGAGACAACACCTAAAGGAACAAACATAAAGTCAGAATGTTAGAATGAAGTAGAGATAAGAAAATCAAATACAAATAAAAATAAAAATAAATCGGAGTAAGAATATATATACCTAGAAAAAAGAATATATATACCTATAGCATCAGCTTCATTACTTCCTGGAACAACCTGAAGAGTTGTTATGCAGAAGTTGACGTCAAAATGAACGCCTGTGTGAGCTGCTAATTGCTTGCATGTTTCTTCGAGAGTGGCGTCAGCTGATAACAAGTTGAGGAAGAGGAGGGCAACAACAAGAGAGGGAAAAGCCTTCATTTTTCGTCTGTTTCTTAATTTCTTTCTATTTTATTTTTGGCGTATTTTTTTTTTTTTTTTTGAGAAGACCTGGTGGTGGTTATATATATAACCTGGGATCTAGTCATCCTTTGGCATCCAACTAATGGGCATATAGGTTCATATTTGCTAAGTAAATAAACATGCATATTTTGCCCTGTATACGTTTCACGAACGGTTTGAGCTAAATAGGAATAAATTCCTCCCATTAATACTTACCATTAATTAAGTGGTAAATATCTTCAAAGTAAGTTAACTTGTAAATAATATTGCTTCGCCTCAGCTGGTTCACGAAGTTGATGCCCTCGGTGGTGAGATCATGGGGAAAATGGCTGATAAGTGTGAAACTTAGTTGCAATTATCAGATGATTGGTTAATCTGCAAGGTTAATTTGTAGTGTGATGTACTCGCACGTGTTAACCATGTTGTAAAGGTTTGGTCGACGTTGAAATCCTGGCGCTTGTGCAATTAATGTTTAATTTAGGTACAGCTATAAGTGCAGCTATACTGCTTCACATGTAGGAGTGATGGTTAGGTAATAGCTATAAGTGCAGCTATACTGCTTCAGTTGGCTAGGTACATGTGCATCCATATATGCATGTTTATTCAATTTGGTTTCGCACTTGTTTGGGTGGAAATTTTCTCTGCCAGTAATCTACATTACGTTGTGATTTTAATTATCCTTCTAACTAAATTTTTTCTCATTAATTTATTACTTTACAGTAATCGGGGCAGCCTTAATTTGCTTTGAACATGCTGTTTAAAATCCCGATATGGTGCGGTGTTCTTTTTTTTTTTGTCAATAAACTTAAATTTTATTCATTTTCCAAATTGAGAATGAGAAGTACAACTAAGTGCCAGAAAATCTGGAAACCAAAAAATTACAGGTTCCCAAAAATATTTTTCATATGTACATTTGAAGTATCATTATGAACTTTTGCAAAAACTAAAAACTTGATATCACTAAGAATCTGAGCAGGGAGCCTCATTTTGCCTTGAAAGATTCTCCGATTTCTCTCCTTCCAGATCATATAAACCGTAGTGGATAAACACATCCTCTTCAATTTCTTCATAGGGCCTTTTCCTTTCAAATTACATGAATACCAGTTTAAAACCAAACTCCATACACATGACCTACATCTATATCTCAGCCATTCCATCATTAAATTCCAGACTTCAGCTGAAAATTGACATTCAAAGAAAACATGGCTACTTGTCTCCCGTTCCTGTCTATTACACAGGACACAGTGAGTCTGATTGGTGCTCAGGATACCCATTCGGCACAATCTATCCTTGGTGAGAAGTCTTGAATGACAAACTAGCCACAATATGAAAGAATGTTTAGGATATAAAAAACTATCCTATACAGTTTTAGCCCAGGGCACTGTAATCGTAGGCTGGATAAGAGACTTGTAAACTGCAGATAATTGGAGTTTGTCATCAGCATAACATTCAGTTATAGCAGCCTCAATATTGTCAACACTACCAAACTTGTGCAACAACATATCTCTCACTTTAAGGAGTTGCCTCCATGTCCATGAATCATTTGTCTTGGATGGAACAGACCAGATATTGAGCCTCTGTAGATAGTTTCCATGAATCCACTTTATCCATAGTAGATCCTTTTTAAGATGAATCATCCAAAGGAGCTTAGTACGTAGCAGCAGCATAATTCCAGAGCTTAGCTGAAAAAATCCCCAGCCCCCCTTGCTCCTTCCCTTGACACACATATTTCCAATTCACAAGATGAAGTTTATGTCCCCACAGAAATTCAGAACTCATTTTGTCAATTCTTTCCAATACTTGAACTGGCAGAATGTAATTGCTGATCCAATATGTTTGAATGCCTAATATCACAGATTTTATCAACTCAAGCCTGCCTGCATAAGACAGATATTTTTTCTGTTGCCAGGTTTGGAATTGCTTGTTTATTCTTTCAATAAGGCAGGAGCAATCAGAATACGAGAGCCTTTTAGCATTCAGTGGCAGCCCCAGATACTTCATAGGCAGTATACCCTCAGGGAATTTAAGATAATTGCATATCTGAATTTTGAGACTATCACTAACTCCACTAAGGAAAACAGAGCACTTACTTGCATTAGCTTCCAAGCCTAAAGCTTGTCCAAACTCTTGTAGGCATTCATAAATTTTTGCAATAGAGCTCATGTCAGCTTTACAGAACAAGAGCAAGTCATCGGAAAATATCAAATGATTGATCTTCAGTTTAGAACACTTCGGGTGAAATTTGAAAGAGGAGTCATCCTTTAGAGCACTAAGTTTTCTAGATAGAAACTCCATACAAATGACAAAGAGATAAGGGGAAAGAGGATCCCCTTGTCTTAATCCTCTTGCACCATGGAAGTATCCATGCAACCCCCCATTCAATGCTAAAGAAAATTTTGGAGAGGAAATACACTCCATTATCCAGTGAACCATGATCATAGGAAACCCCAGACCAACCAACATACTTCTTATAAACTCCCAATTAATAGTGTCAAAGGCCTTCCTCAGATCAACATTCAGAATAGTTCTTGGGGAGTTATTTTTCCTTCCATAGTGTTTGATAATTTCATGAGCAAGTAAGAAGTTACTGGATATGAGTCTCCCTTTCACAAATGCACACTGAGCATCATTAACTAAATAGCCTATATTCTTTTGCACCCTACTAGCAATAACTTTAGAGATAATTTTATAGATGCCATTGCAGCAGGAAATCGGCCGATAGTCAGCAGCTGATGTGGGATTAAGGACTTTGGGCACACGAGTAATAGAAGTAGTATTAAGGGAACCCAAGAGTTTACCTGATTGAAAGAATTCTTCAATTGCAAGAAAGAGATCATCGCTGATGATACACCAAGCAGCTTTAAAGAAGTAAGCATTGAAGCCATCAGGCTCAGGGGCCTTGCTATCAGGCATGGAAAATAGAGCTTGCTTAATCTCCTCCCTAGAGACAGGATAACTCAGTTCATTCCTCTGAGCTAGAGTTAAAACAGGGCCATTAGAGATCACACTAGGATCAAGAGTTATGTTAGCCTTAGCACTCCCCAGCAACTTCTTATAATAATCAATGAGTTCTGAGGTAATATCAGACAAGTCTGTAAGCCTGTAGCCATCAGCATTATATATTGACAAGATTCTACTCTGATGCCTCTTAGACTTCATCACTGAATGAAAGAATTGTGAGCCCTTATCTGAGTGGAGACCCCATTTGATATTTGCTTTTTGCCTAAGAAATGAATTTTCATTATCCAACAGAATAGCATATTTTCTGATGCAATCCCTCTCTTTAGAAATCAAATCAGAGTTGAAAAGGTCAGTACTCAGCTTGAATTGAATCTCCAAAAGTTCAGCTTGAGCTCTTGAAACTTGCTGACTAATGTTCATGTAGTTCTTCTTATTAAGATCCTTGAGAACATGCTTCACATTTTTAAGTTTTGAGCAAAATCTGTACATGTTATACCCTCTGACACTCTTATTCCAAGCTGATCTTACCACTTCTAAAAAATCAGGGTGTTTAGCCCACATATTAAAGAATTTAAAAGGCTTTTTACCATCAAATATTTCATCTCCAATAGTAATAAGCCCAGGGGAGTGATCAGAGTAAAGATGCATCAAATATTTCACTTGACTTGTAGTATATTGATTAATCAAATCATCATTTACTAAGGATCTATCCAATCTACTCCAGACCCTAGTTCCAGCATCTTGTTTATTATTTTCAAGTGAAATAGCAACCAATAGGTGTTCTTAATTATCACGCGTCTTAGCACTTTACTGCTGTTATTATTACTACAACAATATGGGGTATGCTAAAACACTTATATATGGCCCAATATCTTTATATCAATACTATTAAAGCTTTGAGGTTCTCAAGAAATTTCATTTGGACCTTCTTCTGCAATTGATTTATAATAGAATATGTTGGTTTGTTAAGCAGGGTTTTCCTATTAATAAGAAGAAAGGATTAATTAGACTTTTGGCTGATCAAAAAACAAAAATGGTAATTAGTTACGTGCTTTTGTTACCGACACAGACCTTCTAATAAATATAGATAAAGAGATTAAGTTGTGAACTTAAAATATAATGTACGTAATGGATTTTGCATTATGACTATCTTGTTGGAATTGGGGGTGTCGACCAAACCTTGCAGGCACTAGTACAAAATAGGTCTGCCCCAACGGTTGTAACCGTTGGGGCAAATCATGACCCCAACGGTTAGGACCGTTGGGGCTAAAATAACGACCGTTAGGGCAAGTTGCGTTGGGGCAAAATCAACCCCAACGGTTGCCGAACATGCCCCAACGGTTCCAACCGTTGGGGCAAATATTTTGCCCCAACGGTTGGAACCGTTGGGGCATATATTAGCCCCAACGGTTCCAACCGTTGGGGCATATATTAGCCCCAACGGTTGGAACCGTTGGGGCATTTATTAGATAAATAAAAAAAAAGAAAAATCAGCCAATAATATTATGCACAAATACTCAAGACCTATATAGAGATGATCATCATGCAACAGATTACACACCAGAAACATAGAGAATCGGAATTGAAAAATCTATCAATTATCTAATTCTAACCATTCTTCGTGATTCTTGTCAAGAGTATCAAATTATAACATCATCTTGAGTTGTCTTCCATACGAGTTTGAGAGGCATGTCTTCTCTCCAAAAGACTGGCTTGAATCTTCACTATCCATTGCCATTCTCACCTCACGAACAATGTATTTCCCCTTCTCTATCGGCTGCTTTGAAGTTATCAGCTCCAACACGACAACCCAAAGCTATAGACATCATTTTATCTGTCAATGACCTAACAGTTTAAACAGATATTCAGTCAATAAATGAAAGTAAATACAGTACGTATATCTAAATGATACAGAGAAAACAATAATTTATCTAAAGGAATGGTTCATATAAAGCACTGATTTTTGCATGTTGCTAAGTTCTGATGGTTCACCAGTTGTGCCCTCAACCTAGATAAACAATACTAAAAAGAGTCTTCAGTTGGTCAGTAGCTACCAGCTTTGCCTCCTACAGCTTGGTCTAAGCTCTTAATTCTTTAACTTACTCATTGTAGAACACGTTCATCTCCCAATTACATACTTAGCACCTAAATGCATCCTGAGACTTGATATGCATGATTGAAAATATAGTGACCGCATCCGAGACATCTTTCCAGTGAAAACCTTTGTCATTACCAAGTCTCTGCCAACTACCAAGGGATAAAGGACTAGTAAAACTGAATGGCAGCGGGTACCATGGCGCAGCCACTTATACAACATTACAAGAACCTCTGCAGGAAGCGATCATGCTATTCAAAACATGTGGGTTAGGACCTATACAGCTTGTTTGCCCTGGGATGATATGCTGGAAAGCGAAGCAGATGCAAACATTGTTACATAAAAGTTGTCTTTCGATAGAAAATTAGAGGCTTGCAATAGCCAAGCAACCGCAAAAATGTTACATAAACGAGCTATTTGATAAAAACAAAAGATACCTCATACGTCACAGCCCATTTCCCAGAGCGCAAAGACTTTTGGTAATAGTTTATATCCCCCACGTATAAGCTTGCACCCTTTGGAATTTTATTGACTTCTTTCATCACTGAATCAATCCTAACAAATGTGTCATCATCACACTTCATTATATACTTTGCTGAGACAGTACGTACCTGCATTACCAATACAAGTTGAAAAGAAAAACAACAAAAATCAGTCTAAGCAAATAGATCAACTATTTTCAAATTTTAACTCTTCCTCAAAGAAATAAATAAACAAGAAAATATAAGTGATTATTCCAATAAATCAGTCAATAGCTCACTTACACCATATTCCAATAAATAAACCAGTAGCATCCTCAAGAACAAATCCCTACAAAAACATGTATAAGCCATGCTCCATAAGTAACGAGAGCTAGAAATTATATAGCTTAACTAATAGCCACAAGTAGCATTAGATGCTATCAAGACACTTACCCTCAACAAATGGGTATGGCCAATCAAAAGAGACCTTCTTTGTTCGCCCAATTAATCTGTTCAACCACCATGTTGTTTTAGATTCCTATGATTGGTTATCATCATCCTGAATCCACTTTTCACATTTTACTTCCCCATCCACTGTAAAGTCAATTTGAACCACACAAAAAAAATCAATTTTGATGTTATTTTACAGATGCACAGACATTAAGGACAAACCTAAATTACACTAGAATCAGATGATTATATCCTTCAATCACCCGGAAAAAAAGATAGAGCATATGGAGCATAGAATTAGAACACAATCATACATGAAAATTGTAATTTCCAATAAAATGAAATTAGACCATTAGAAAAAAGAGGATTTAGTTAAAACCGGTCTTTTTCACAAGCACATCATATGTAAAAACGTCTCAAGCATTAAAATTAAGACCTCCTACCTGCCAACCAGAATTGAAATGTCTGATAGGAGAATTAGGTCATCTCCAAAGCGGAAATTTCTATTAAGATCAACTAACAAATTCAGATTTTGAACTCATTATTTCATAGTTAAAACATTCCCGATCCTTACCAAAACATTCTAAATCACCAAAACTCCATGCACTTCATAGTAAAAACATTCACAACACTATAAAAATCCATTGAGCCAAAATTCCACCCATTTATACCAAAATTACCCTTTTCAAAAGACAATAAAATTAATTATCAAAATCTCAAAGTCCCCATGGGTAAAAAAAACTATTTTCCATCAATGTCACAGTTCATATGAAGGCACCACCCTATTAAACAGAAGAAAAAAAACAAACTTTTAGATAAATTTGACAGAATCTCACCAGTCTCCTCATCAGCTCTGGACCTCCACCCTTCACACCTGAGTGTCGTGTTCCACTACATCCGATAACAAGTGTTCTGCTCAATCACCGGCCGACCACTCCAATCTCCCTTCAACAATTCCCTTAATTCAGCAAATCCTACAAGCAAACCACCTTTGATAAAGTTTTTATTAGGGTTTATGTCATTAGGCCTCTAAAAAAAAAACATGCAACCAATCAATCTATCAAGCAAAGAATCAAACTTTGCAACCCAAGCAGAGTCTAATGCAAAATATCTCATTACATCATAACCTTACCTTCACCAATGAGCTTGGATGTCTAAGATGGAGGACGAGGCAGCGGCCGAAGAACTGCTAGAGGAGAAGGAGGCGGCGGCGCGCTCCTACTGGTGACGACGACGTGGATTTTGGGGAATTTTGGGGAGAGAGATGTAAGAGAAAGAAGGAGGGGCTGCGGAGCTTGTGGTGGAGAGAAGAGGCAGTTAGAAGAGTAGGAGGCGGCGGAATTAGGGTTAGGGATTTGCGGGGAAGGGAGGCGAGCGAATTAGGGTTAGGGTTTTCAAGGGAGAGGAGGAGGTAGGTGAATTTGGTTCAGGGTTTGGACAGGAGAGGAGAGGAGGCTGAGGCGGAGAGGTCAGGGTAGCAGCCGGGAGGGGATCGGAAGCGGTGTTTGAGAGAGAGAGAGAGAGACGGGAGAGTTGGGTTTTTATTTTTCAGAGAGATCGGAACTTTTTGGTGTTTATTGGTTTTTTTTTGGTCAAAAAAATTGAGGGAAAAATTCCCTCTATTTTTTTTGCTAAAAAGGGAGGTGCCCTAACGGGTGGAACCGTTGGGGCTATTAAAACTTGTCCCAACAGTTCTAACCAACTGTTGGGGCTGCTATAGTTTGTACTAGTGAGGTGAGGGGGGCTACAAGCGAACTCTCGAGCGATGCAGTCTAGGAGAACGAGATCTGGTGAGCTCGTGGCGACGAGCTGGAAAGGGGGTTGCGGGCGAAGTCGTGGCAGACAAGCTCGAGTAGCTGCAGGCGAGATTGACTCATAGGCGAGCTTCTGTCAGGCGGAACTTGAGCAGGCAAGCTCGCGAGTTGTAGGCGAGCGCTACAGGCGAGTTGACGACTTGCAGCCTAGATCGAGCGTTCGTTTTAGGTGCGATCCAGGCTGTCGACAGACTGTCGACATCTCAGCTAGGGCTTCACTATAAAAGGGGAATCGTAGGGCTCGGATCCAAAAAAAGCTTCTTCTCGTTATCTCCCAAGCGGCGGCGGTGAATTTTTGCTGCTCATTCCTCTTTTCTCCAGCACTCAGTTATTTATTGAGGGGGAATTAAAGAGGGTTTAACACTGTAGCTACAGTATTAATATTGTATCTATTAAGAGATCTCAGTTTAAGATCTTCCCTGCTTTGTAATTTCTTGTTGATTAATAAGAAATTTACTGTGTCTCCCGAGGACGTAGGCAGTTGCCGAACCTCGTTAAATATTGGTATACTTTTTCTATTCTGTGTTTCTGCTATCTTAGGGGTTTTGCGTAGCCCTGGCGGGTAAATTCCTAAAAATGGTATCAGAGCTTGAAACGATCTAGAGGAAGTCAGATTTAAGTAGGAGTCATGGCCGCAGATGAAGGAAAAATGAGACTTGAGAAGTTTGATGGAACAGAATTTAGGTTTTGAAAAATATAGATAGAGGATTATCTGTATCAGAAAAATTCATATCAACCACTATCGGGGAAAAGCTGAATTCTATGAAGGTAGATGAGTGGAACCTTCTAGACAGATAAGCCCTCAGAGTTATCAGATTCACGTTGACTCGCAACGTCGCGTTCAACATAGCAAAGGAGAAGACCACATTGGGTCTTATGGCAGCTCTCTCAAATATATATGAGAAGCCATCAGCCGCAAACAAAGTTTATTTAATGCGATAGTTATTCAATCTGAGAGTGGCGGAAGGCGCGTTAGTAACACAACACCTCAATGAACTTAACACGGTCACAACCCAATTGAGTTCAATTGAAATTGAGTTTGATGAGGAAGTTCGGGCGTTGATACTTTTGTCTTCTCTACCAGAGAGTTGGAACGCTACAGTCACAGCTGTGAGTAGCTCGTCGGGAAGCACCAAATTGAAGTTTGATGACGTTCGTGATCTGGTTCTCAGTGAGGAGATCCGACGGAGAAAGTCGGGTGAAGCTACAACCTCTTCAGTATTGCATACAGAGTCAAGAGGTAGAAATTCAACCAGAGGGAATGGACGAGGCAAATCAAACTACAGAGGTAGATCAAAGGACATGAGGTCCAAGTCAAGGAATCCAAGCAATAGCTCGAAGGCTATCGAGTGTTGGAGTTATGGAAAGACCGGGTATTACAAGAATTAGTGCAAGAGTGCTCAGAAGGAGAAGGAGGCAAATGCAGAGGTGAATGTCACTTTCACCTTAGGAGGAGACGACGCATTGATATACTCTTTGGAGAGCAAGGAGGAATCTTGGGTGTTAGATTCAGGAGTGTTATTCCATGCTACTTCTCAGAAAGAATTCTTCGAGAAGTATATTCCCGAAAATCTTGGATACGTATATCTTGGTGATGATCAACCGTGTGCTATTGTGGGCAAATATGTGGTGAAAATTAAGTTGAACGGGTCAGTATGGAATCTGAAGGATGTCAGATATATTCCCAACATGAGAAATAACTTAATATTTGTAGGCCAGTTGGCTGGCGAAGGATACACAACAACCTTCCATGGAGATGATTAAAAGATCTCAAAAGGCGCAATGACGATTGCCCGAGATAAGAAGACTGGTACCCTATATATGACAGCAGGTGCACGTTGTTTAATCTAAGTTGTAGCAGGCAATGAGGTTTCAAAGTTGTGGCACCAGAGATTCGGTCATATGAGTGAGAAGGGAATGAAGATCATGCACACAAAGGGAAAACTCACAGGTCTAGAATCAGTTGATTTAGATATGTGTGAAGAATGCATACTTAGAAAGCAGAAGAGAGTCGGCTTTCAGACAAGTGGCAGAACCCCCAGAAAGGAGAAGCTAGAACTCATTCACTCAAATGTTTGGGGACCAACCACCATCGCGTCCATTAGTAGAAAACACTACTTTGTGACTTTTATCGATGATCACTCTCGGAAAGTGTGGGTCTACTTTCTGAAGCATAACTCAGAAGTATTTGAGGCTTTCAGGAGATGGAAAGCCATGGTCGAGAATGAGACCGGTATGAGAATAAAGAAGCTCAGAACCGACAATGACGGTGAGTATGAAGACACCAGATTCAAGAAGTTCTGCTATGAGCACATGATCAGAATGGAGAGAACCGTGCCCGGCACGCCTCAGCAAAATGGTGTAGCTGAGCGGATGAACCGAACATTGACAGAGAGGGCCAGAAGCATTCGGGTACAGTCAGGCCTACCGAAGTAGTTCTGGGCAGAAGCAGTCAACACAGTAGCTTACTTGATCAACCAAGGTTCTCTCAATCTCTCAACCTCTCAACCTCACATACATAATCAACTATCATATTCTCTCCAAAGCTCACTCCTTATAATATTTTGTACGGATAAAGATCACGAAACTCTCGCCTCTCGCACAATATTTTTGAATCAGGCTACGCCCTCTACTAACCCTAGATAACAAGAATATTAGCTCTCTCTACTACATCTTTTCTCTACTCTCTCTTAATTTTTTTTCCACCAATACAAGAATATATATATATATATATATATATATATATGGAAACCAAACCCTATCTCTAGCCTAACTTCCTAATTAGAATAGAATTAAAACTTCTAATCACGATGAAACCCAAACTCATAATCATGATAGATCTTTAATCCTATCTAATTCTCATGAAATTATACAAAGAATCAAATCAAAATCCCAACATTATCGACATTGCACAAAACTATATGAATATATTTGTACTTCATGCATTAGTCTCACTGCTAAAAAATAAGGTATTTTAGACGGAAAATTCCATCTAGGATACTCAAAATTCTGTCTAGGATGAGTATTCTAGACGGAATTCCGTCTAGAATACCCGTCTAGAAAGTTTCCGTCTAGAATGCATTATTCTAGACGGAAATTCCGTCTAGAATACATTCTAGACGGAATATTCTAGACGGAATTGAAAACCGTTTAGAATACATCCTAGACGGATTATTCTAAACGAAAATTTTCGTCTAGAATAATGCATCCTAGACGAAAAATATTTCCATCTAGAATGATTATTCTAGACGGAAATTGGTTTTTTATTTTTTTAATTTAAAAAAAGGTATCCTAGACGGAATTTGAGCATCCTAGATAGAATTTCCGTCTAGGATACTTGCTACAGTTTTTTTTTGGGTGCAGAATCTACTTTGGATGCTTATACACAATATTGAACAACAAAACATTATATTCATATTCAACACAATCTAATCATATTTCAATAACAAATCCTATTATATTTAAATTATACATTCACCAAAATAGTAGAGAGGTACATAAATTGTTTACAAACTTTTACATAAATTATTTACAATAGCTATGACACTACAGAAGTTTCTTCAACTCCTTCCTTATACATTTACTCAAGCTCTCTTCTCCTTCTTAAGCTTCTTCCTCATCATTCTGAGTGTAACATAAGGACACAAGCAATGCATTAATATATGTACAAACTGATCCATAAGGACACAAGCAATGCATATATAAAACAGAATCATTAAATCAGCATAGTCGCTACAGAAATTTGTGAGTTGCATATAAATCTTTTTTTTAAGTAACTAAGATGAGGTAGAGACAACTTCTCCTTTTGATGCTGGAGCTTAATTAGTTAACACTGTATGGTGCATTTGAAGGTCAAGGTGACTGATAGTATGGTGAAGGATACTGGTAATGTTGACAAGTACTAGAGATAATAAGCAGCATGATCGAACATTTCAATAATAAAAAAACATAAATAATAGTTCAAATTAAAAAAATCACATGTATCTGACTAAAATTGAGAAAATTTGCACTGCAATGTTTAATCACATGTAATCTACAAATTCAGTAACAGCAAGGTACTTTACATAGGTCGATACATAGACACGCAGCTAATATTAGTGTTACCTCAAAACAAGAAGTGCCTGATGCTCAGTGACAACATCTAAATTAGTTGGTACCAATGACATAATTTAAACATGACTTTCCATAATTATATTTCAAGTGACAACATCTAAATTAGTTGGTACCAATGACATAATTTAAACATGACTTTCCATAATTATATTTCATAAAGTAAATTCAGTACAGCAGCGAAAATTCATCTTTATAAAAACAACTAGACTACCAAACTCTTACGACAATATAGTACAATGAGGATCCATGCCTTGCTGATGCGCACAGGAGGTAACAAATATTTCACCATAAAAACACTCTATTTCCTATAGGATGTGCAACAAAACCTCGATGTACAGACAACTAAGGCCGCATGGGCATGCATTGATGCACCGATCTACTAAGTGTCAATACACACATTAAACAGTAGATCCTATTTTTATGTATAAATATAACGTAGTTAAGTTCATGCTAATCATTATAAGAGTAATCTTAAAATTAAATTAAATTATTTATATGCCTAAATTTTCTTATAATAAGTACTTTCACTGTTTTTCACTATCTTCAAGGGGGGAAGCAATCAAAAGATATATCTCGTTTAAGATCTCAAATTACTTTCTTCTAATATCCCAAATAACAACAGAATTCCTCTTTTTTCTCATGTGTTAAGAGTTATATTAGCCTATCAATCTTCAAAAATATCTCAGCATAAAAATAAAACGAATAAACATATCCCTGCATGATTAGTAGCATGATTGGCAGCAGTGGTTCTTACAGATCTAAGTCAAGGACTGGTAGTTTAAGTGATATTTTAAATCAGTTGAAGAATTTAACTGTACATCGCATATGCATTGACACTTCAGAGAGAAATGACATGTAATATGCACACTGATGCTTCAGAAAGAAAGAGCATGAAGTGGAATCGGAAAAGAATAGCAGACAACTGAAGCAAAATACCTCAAACGGATCTCTTCTGTTATGACATCTTTCACATCATCTGCAGTCGTAATTTGAAAAGGTAATGCACGATTTACAGAATTTAAAATTACAACATGCTCCGCAGCAACCTACAAACGTGGATAAACAAGCCAAGTTACCATTTCACACAACCCAGGATAAGAAGGTAAAACAATTTACTAGTCACAAGTTCCTAGTGCTAGTTCCAAAACATATGCCATTTCATTCAAGAAATTAGAACCACAATGTAGCATCCATAGAAATCCTAGACGAATATTCACAAATAGAAGGTGTTTTCGTAAATTATTTCCTCCCAGTAGATTCTGAAACTACTTTGCCAACCATCATTGCTAATTTTTTCACTATATTTTTTAACCTCTAGAGCAACAAAAGCTGTGTCCAAAATATCTTTCAGTTTTAACAATTTTTCTACCTTGGTCCAACCTACTACTAAATTAGAACTGGTATTTTTGTATCTGACTAAAATTGAGAAAATTTGCTCTTACTAGCATACAAGTCCAAATGATGTATAAAAATGTGAACTTTACAACTTCACTAACATCAGATTGCATAGAACACTTGTTATAAAGACTGCAATATTCATATTTTACCTCTATATCCCCAGTCTCCATCTTCTTATTCACAGACTCGCCCGGCCGAGCCCTAACAGTCCCCTCAACCGCAACCACATACTCAACCCTCAACTTATTTGCAACCTCATAAGCCTCCGGATACTCATCAGGCAACGTCGTAACCTAAAAGAAGGCCAAAACCAAATCAAACCAACTCAAATTCAGACCAAATTAGGGCAAAACCTCACCTGAACGATCCCGGACTGATCCCTAAGATTCAAAAACGTCAATCCCCCGTGAATCCGATGAAGCGCCACCCATCCACAGAGCGTGACTCGCTTCCCGACGTCGCCGAGCCCTAATTTGCCGCAATTCGCCGTTCTTGAGATCCATTGGAGTGAGGACTTGGATTTGGGAGGGGTTTCAGGAGTTAGGGTTTCGAATTGAGCGGTAGAAGAAGAAGAAGAATAGCAAGAAATTGGAGAAGGAATCGAAGGGGGGGTGAGAAGAGGAGAGGAACGAGATTCTTTTATAATGGAAGGAGAAGGGGCGACGGCCAACAAGGACGGCGAAGAGGACGACGCGACGGCGAACAGGAACGGCGAACAGGGAGGCGATGTCGAAGGAGAGGGAGGGCGCGGGCGCGAGGGCGCAGGTGACGACGGGAAGACGGAGACGGCGGTTCTGGCCTTTGAACAGGGGAGGAGAATGGGGGAAGAAATAATTTGCGAATTTCTGTGATTTTTAAGAGGGGGTAAAATTTAGGGTTGAGGCGGGATTTTTTGGGGTTAAGGCGGGAGTTTTTTCAATAAAAACGAACCTAGTATCCTGGACGGATATTTCCGTCTAGGATAAATATCCTAGACGGAAATATCCCTCTAGGATGCTCTATTATTTTTAAAAAAAATTTTAAATTAATATTTTCGTCTACAATAATATTCTAGACGGAATTTTCCGTCTAGAATATTCTATCCTAGAAGGAATATTCTAGACGGAAAATTTCCGTCTAAAATATTTCATCCTAGACGGAAAATTTTCCGTCTAGGATATTCCGTCTAGAATACTTAATTTTCTACTAGTGTCTGACTGCCTCAAGCAACAGTAGAACGCAATTGAACTTCAACCTCAAGCTTGCAATATTCCCAGTCACATACAAAAAAATTGCTCAATAATTTTGTTAGCACCTACAAATTATACCCAGTAGAAATACCCAAAAGATATGTACTTCAATAAAAGAAAACAGAAAACTTTTGATAGTCTGGCGCCCACTTCTACACGTATACAAATATCAAAAGAAGTCTGAAAAGAGTTTGAATAAAAGGATTGAATCCCTTGTGGTTGCTTCATTACTCCACCTATTCATTTTAGATATAGAGAGTAATGATGCGCATGTTATTTAGAGGAACCATCATCATGAATTCATTACCGTGTTATATTTATAGATACACGTTTGCATAATTTTCTTCTTGTTCACACACAAACTTATAGCAAGCTGTACAGTTGCTACGGGTCTAACGGCTTAGATGCATGCGCATGACATATATATGGTAGCTAGCTAGCTGGGTGTGTACATTCAATGGAGGGTTGCATTAATTGATATCTACAGAAAAAAAAAACTAAGAATGAACACAATTGGTCAGGTATAATCGTTCTAATTAAAGCGGTACAATCATACAGTAATGACCACTTTTTTTAGTAATTAAGGATAATCTATTACGTTAGGTTAGGGTACGTTTTGTAGCCAATTAAATATGATCGTCTTTGTATATAACCGCATCATCTGTGTATATGTATATGGTATCATAGAATACATATTTTTTTAATCTTGTTTATTGTTTCCTCAAGGTCACCTCAAAGACATTATCATCTTTGTATATATATATATATATATATATATATATATATATTGTATATAACCGCATCATCTGTGTATATGTATATGGTATCATAGAATACATATTTTTTTAATCTTGTTTATTGTTTCCTCAAGGTCACCTCAAAGACATTATCATCTTTGTATATATATATATATATATATATATATATATATA